ACTATTGCCAAGAGAGCCTCACACAAGATTAATAACATACACCCGTACAACAGAAAACAGTCATGTGGAGGGTTTATCTGGCAAATAATCTTTAAACGGAGTAGTTGCGTTGTACACATAAAGATACACAGTGTAGAATGGAGGGAAAACATATTTTTTTTGTAAAGTCATTTAATTCGGTGTATGTCGATCCATAACAATGAATGTGTGTGCGCTGTGCCAAAGGAGATACGCTCTGAGACAATTTATTTCTTCTCAGGTGAAACCTAAATGCCAAAACGACGAAAATTTACACTCACCATTTTTATATCCCTATTTATTCTTTTATACAACGTACTAGGAAAATGGTCCGATGCATATTTTTTTAGTTGTTTTTTTTTTATTTTGGAACGCGAACAGTCATTGGGACCTGGTGCTACCCGTTTTCTCGATTTAAAAAATGCCATTAACTTGGGAAACATAAACACGGTTTTACTGAAAAATTAATATTATTATTGTTTAATATGAAGTAAAGTTTTTAGAGCAGGCATACACAGTATAAAGTCATAAATATTGTGAAGAAAATACATTTAGTGTTCTGGAGTGCATTCGACCCACAGGGAGGGGGTGCATTTTGGGTGAGCGCCCGCCCCCGGCGTCATCAGCGCTGAGTGTTGTGGACGGCCCCGCAGGGCCTGAAAACGTTCGTAGAGCAGGGTGAGCAGTTGGCAGTTTTTGTTTTGCAAGAGTGAATTCTTGTTGCTTTGCAGAAGTTTTACGCAGTTGCCGATGCTTGTTCCTTGAAGGTTGCGTGCCGCCAAAGTGGTGAATGGAAAAGGTCTGAATTCCCTATGATATAAAGTCTAACGGTCTGAAGTGTAACATGTACATTGATATTAGTGTTTTATAAATGTAAAAAAAATTGTTCACAAAGTGTCGGGCTCTGGTGTTTTTTTTTAATCCTTTTATTTAAGAAATATATTGGAGGAAACAAGCGAAAACCTTGGGGCAAGTTATTCCAACAATGTTAAAAAAGTCCTATAGAACTGATATTTAGCTGACCCCGCATTTAAAGGTAAGGTATTATTGACGCTTGCAAATTTCTACAGTCAGAAATGTTTCTTGTGTCCAAGTGGAAGAAGGTAGATGCAGTTCAAATTCGTCTGCTCCAGGCACATCATAACAGGGTTGTGATTTAATTACAATGTGAAAGAATGGGATTTAATAGCGGTGTGTGATTTTAGGAAAATTGTCCATTCATTATATTATCCAATGCACCGGCACAACGTACAAGTTACGGGACTATCAATTTGCTACTTGTTATAAAGAGAGTTCCGAAATTAAAGACCACTATTTTTTGCTATTTCTGAATTTTTAAAACACAGTACCACAACCTATCATTTATTCCATGATCAGTTATAGAGATTATGGATGAAAAATTAAATGTCATTAACAAAATTACGAACATTTTCTATGGTGCAAGTTACCATTATAAAATCAAAGGACTTTGTAAATTTTGGTCGTCATGAAGAATACTTATGAATTTTTTCTTCAACATTCCACTGTCAAGATCGCTGTGATAGTTGCGGGAACGATCAAGCGGTTGGAAGCAAAGGGAAGTCTTCAATATCACATGAATGCTCCTTGCAAGTTCTTTACGGGAACAGAGAAACATCCATAATGTTTACACATTTTTTACCGCTTAGGATCATGCATCATAGAAGACAGCACATGAAACTAATTTTCAACTGCTAGAAAGATACCTGGCACACAATTATTTCACCTATTTCCAATGGACTCAAAAAGAACAATAATTGTGTTTTCTAACCATGAGGATATGAAATCTATGGATATTGCATGTGTTTAAAACTGGTGCTTGTGTATGTTCTTAAAAAGTTGTAACCTGAATTAAACTTTATAAAATATTACAAACATATCTTTTGCATACCCAGTGCCTGCTTGGCGAGATAATTGTTCCTTCCGTGTCACATGCTCCGTCGTTTCTCCATCTTGAAAATTATCACAAAAAGAAAATTGCGTCTACTTTAATATGATGTATGGAAAATTCTATTATTTTGTGATTATCAATTTTAAAATTGCATTCATATTTTTTCTAAAAAAATTAAAAACAATTTTTTTGAAGTTGTAAAGCAAAACAAATAACGTATTTAATCACCTGAGAAATGAGATATAGTTTGTCTTTCTAACTTTAAAGACTTGAAAAGTCGCGCTTTTGCTCCAAAACACACAAAAACTGAACTTATATCGTACGAATGCCTGGAAACAAAAGATTTTTTTTTCATTCATTTGGTCTAGGTTGACATAAAAAAATTATCATCTTTTCAATATGGCAGGGGATGCCCCATTGGGTCTTACAGCAGATTGTGCCACGTGGAAGTTTGAACAATGTTTATAACGAAGAATCTATCATTTCAGTGCCGACAGGCAAAATATTTTTACATTGCTATTTTCAAGTGTATTTATTGTAAAATTGTATTTTTACATAGAAAGCTTCGAGGCTTTTCTTTTTGATTAATTTGTAGTTGGTCCGGGAAAGTGTATGCCGTCATGTTTTCCTACCGTAGATGTTGTTTATAGTGAATCTCTACTCTGAAAGGCCGGCACAGGAACTTGCATGGCTTCTGCAGCTCATTTCCTCTCATGTCTCAATGAAAACCAATTGAGAACGCCCCAATTATGAACATCTTCAAGCCTGCGTTCATTGCTTGCGTGGAGCTGGTGATGCTGTAGTCCCGGTTTGGCAGAGCTTCAAATCGTTGCGAAAGTGCAATGATGAAAGATCACAGTTGCAGTTAAACATTGGATATGACATTGGCCAGTTTTTTCCGAATAAATATCAATATCATAAAATGAAGCTTTAACGTACAACTGGTGTACTGAGAATAAATAAAACTACCACTTAAAATTAAAAGATTAAAAGGTTACTTGGTCAGTTTGAAATGAAGCCGCCCATGAAATATGTTTATGTGAATAGTGAAGGCTAATATTTGTATGAGTTTGTAAAAGCTGCGTATTAAAGATAAAATGTTCAATCTTATATTTAGAGATTATTCTGCTTTACTGGCGCAATACCAACCTTTACGGTGTAATTACAAGTAAAATCATCTATATATTGGTAATGAGTGAAGATATCGTTGTAAAAAGATTAATCACTATTTTCGAGGAGATAAATTTTTTACATATATATATATATATATAATATAATATATATATATATTATTATATATAAACAACAAAACTACTTCTATTCTGGATAAGTAGTTGCAATCACTCATTTTCAAATGCTTTTATTTCTATATTCTTGTAAATTAGCTTCAAGATATAAGATTTATCTCTAGATTACGTATGTTCATAATAATGCACCTTCGTGCAATCAGATGAAAAACACTTTAATTTTGTTAGTTTCTTGGATCTGTATTGTGTGTTAAATTGCATTAAAAGAATTTAATATCCATCACTTCCAGTTACATACTACAAAACCTAGTTACCTGAAACGCTACGCTATTTCTGCAGCACCGCATGTTCCTCATGAAGAATCTTGTGTTTTCCAAAAATTAGATGTATATAATTAACGTTTTTATCATATATCGCATTTGTAAGTAAAAGTGATTTACAATGATTTCTAATGAAGTTCTCCTAAAGTTCCTCAGTGAAGGCGAGACTGCAAAAATGTCATACTCAGGAACATGGCCAACAATCAAAAAACTAATTCCCGAGCGCATAGTAGTGAATAAGGGGATACGTCTTTTTCC